ATATATCAGTCAATTAATTGTTTGTAACATTAAAAATAATTGACATGACACAAATTTAATGTTAAACGTGAATATCTAATTTGATCTAATTGTTTAAATTATTTCTAAATCCTTATGATAATCATCACTAATTGATGCAGATACATCGTAGGTTTATAATGGTGGGGTAAAGTGAAGAAGATGTTGTTTTTGCAAATTTTCTTCTTAATAACGGTTCACGTAAAATCTATTTAATCAGCTTAGGTTTATGCGAAGAAGTGTTTAGTATACCGGTACTTGTGTATTTGCATACTTCTAATCATAATTTTAATTAATTAATTATCCATTACTCCGTTCTGTATTCTTTCAAATTGATTAGTTTCCATTAGAAGTTATCGTTCACAATAGTTATCATTACGTTGTTGTAGCATTGTTTAACAATTTAATATTCTTGATCTTGCACCACAGTTTCTCAGGTTATTGTTTGATCTATTGCACGTATTACGCGTGAAGACGTCATACGGCTCAGAGAAAACTGATAACAATTATCAAAGGATCTAGCGTCCATGTTGGCACAAAAGCTCATAATGAAGCTGCAATATTCATTCTTCATCTTTGTTCTCGGCCTTGCAATCTCGAGTTGCCGATTCATAACAAGCTCTTTGTGGGCTTTTTGCCAAATGTGTGTGTATTTTATTACTTTCAAACATCTTTGCATAGTTTAAATATTCTGAGATCAATGATAATAACGAAGAAACATCGTTATTCAAATATGATTATAATAAACTAGCTGTAACCCACGGGCTTTGCCCCGTTTAACTTCTTAATTTTCAAGATTATCTCGTTCGCATGGCTCAATCACGTCCTTGTTGAAGTTTGTTCGCTACGCTCACTCACCTTTAGGTTGGAGCTCGTTCGCTACGCTCACTCACCTTTAGGTTGGAGCTCGTTCGCTGCGCTCACTTGCCTTCAGTTTAGCTCGTTCGCTGCGCTCACTTGCCTTCAGTTTAGCTCGTTCGCTTCGCTAACTCGCCTCCAGGTTGAAGTTCGTTCGCTACGCTCACTCACCTTTTGGTTGCAAATTAGCTGTTGTCATAAATGTAACAGAAATAATAGTGCTGCACCCTGTTGGTAATCCTTGTAACTTTAATGCTATTGAACATCATAGAACAGGACCAACTTGTTTAATTGAAACAGCTGTTAAGATTCAATAATTCCATTTCTCATTAGGTTAACATGGGAAACTCCAGAGCCACTGGGGCGGAGCCCGAAAGGATTTTTGAAATAAGAATATGCCTAAAAGCTGATAGAATTATTACATAGATATTAGAACAGAAACGGTATGGATCATAAATATAATCAAATGACGACACTAGCTTGAGGTCCGTGACGTAGGAAGTGGTGAAGGAAGTAGTAAAGGTGAGCAGTCTGGAGTGTGGAAACTGTTTATGACGATTAGATTAAGGTATCTGTATTCCTAAATTTCTAATAAATGAATTAAGAATCAACTGGAATGAGTTTGCAAACCAGATAAATAGGGCATGGTACAGGGTATTCTGGGGTTTTGAAATTTTGAAATATTGGGTTTTAAAAGTGTTTAAAATTCAAATATGAAAATTCCAAATTTGTATTACAGCCATCTTGTAGAGCTTAAAAACAAACAATTTCGTATAATGATGCTTTATAGTAAAATTAATTGTTATTGAGACAATTCACAAAAACTTAACATTTAAGATTCCCACGGTTTTTTTTATGGAGAAACAGAAAACTGTTGTAATTTGCTTTTTTATAGATTCTGTAGATCAAATTTGGCAAATTTATTTATTTAATTCTATGCTATTAACATAGTATTGAATTAATATTATTATTTGGGAGCGAGCTGGCGTAGTGGTTAAAGCGTGGGACTTCAGTCCCTGAGGTCTCGGGTTCGATCCCCGCCAACTCACCTATGGATTTATCTAAGTGATAATGCCGCAGGTCTAGCCTGAAGTAATGTGAAAAACAAATGCGCTATCCTAGGGAAAAAATACTATTACAATTTTGTAAAAAAAACACTTGTTACCGTCCCTGTAGCAGTACTAGTTAAGTTTAATGTTATTTAAGTGGGAATAGATAGACATATTTATGGAAATGTTTGAGTTAAAATTCAATCAGAAAAATCATAATTCGCTTAATCAGTCAAAATTAGGTGTACCTTGACTATATTAGCCTAATTTCACACAAAAAAGCTATATTTAATTTATTTTGTTATTCGACCTTTTTCATCTTGGTTCGGTTGAATAAGAAATCTAAATATATATAAAAAATGTCGTGTTAATTACACCACTTATAACTCAAGAACGGCTGGACCGATTTTAATGGTTTTTGATTAGTTTGATTCGTCTTCAGTTTTGTATTTAACCTTATAAGCGCCACTCGCCTGTAAAGTTTGTATGTTAACCTTATGGAGCTATCGGAAGAACGTGAATAATCAAATATATAAATTAGTTCAAATAGCTGAGGTTAGGAGGTACAGGTTCTGCTCCCAAGATTCTTCTAGGTGGCTATTTACTTTATTATTTGCATTTTTATTCTAATTACAAACTAAATTGTAATTAATTATACTAATTTTTTTGTCGTACCTAATACTTATATTTTCTTTTATTAGGAAAATATAAGTATACACTTATAAAAATATATATTAGGATACTAAAAATACTTGGAGTATACACTTTACATGCTATTGTAAAATCTAAAACCGTTATTAGTGGTTACGATCGATTGCCCTGATGATAGAATACTTAATTTCACATAACACTTCATATTACCGTAGCTTTTTCCACATTTAGAGAAAAGGAGTTATTGTGTTTTCCTACAACACTACTTTAATTTTACCATGGTGCATATCACAAAACTCAGCTGTGCGCAATTCAATTTTGCTTCTAAAATCAATTAAATATTTGTTAATTATATTCCTTTACTCAATGGTTAGCGTGTTAACTAATGTAAATACAATGAACTAAGGAACGAGTAAAAATAATAACTGGTATGTATTATATGTTGTTGATTTCTTATTTACATTGATAAAATTTGTGCCCTGATTAACGATGATAGGGACTGTCTTTCTTACAAAATGTAATACAAGTTTTAAGTTATTTTAATTTTGCTTACGGTGATTTTTACATAATGAGCCAGAGGTAAAAAGATTCCTGACAAAATTTCAGTAGTTAAGGTACAACATATCCTATCTTATCCTATTTTATGAGAAATCATTTTAAATTGTTTGTTGCTTTAATGTTGTGCCCTATGTTGCGCAATAATGTTTTCAACTAAGTAAACTTTTAAGTAAGCGTATCATTTGATACAGTATTTTCATACATGCATCAGCGGTTTATATAATTTTACTAGGTAGCCTAACAAAATTTATCATAGTACAAAATTTAACAAGGTAATTCTTATCATAGCCTAGCTTTAAAGCAAGATGTATTTTCAACTTTAAAATTTTCTCTTAGGTGTTCTCTCCGTTGCGAAGCACGGGTACAGCAGCTAGTGCTAAATAAAATTGTACCTGGGCCGAAATGTTTAAATAAAAAATTTGACTCACTCTTATCTTTTATTTCTAATACAGATCTCTTTAACTTTAATACACATCCCAAATTTCATAAGGATCGGTTGTAAAGCTTCAAATGCAAAAATGTTTATGTATAAAGAAAGAAATTGTAGCTACCTGGGAAAATATGCATTTTTGGATATTCCTTCGCATCAACCCTTTTTGATTGGTATTAGGGTCCATATCCTAAAGTCCTGAAAAGTTGCTTATGGACACTCTGAATATTAAAAGTTTAACCGCTTAAGTAGTCATTCCTGTTTCGTGAGACAACAGGTGTAAATATATTTTTCAACTAGCAGAGTACCCGTCCTTCGTACGGGGTTGGAATATAAGTATTAAATGCTTATTGCAGTTATACTTAAGCTTTGCGATTGCAATGGGTGGAGGACACAGTTTGATAAAATTTGCTTTTTTAAATTTACAGTATTGTATAGTATTACACATCTACCATAGCCATAATGTTCTACCATTTCACCTAAACAATAGAGAAAAATAAATTATCAATTCGCAAAATATCACAAATTATTCATGAAATGAAAAACATAAACATAACTGTAAACAATCCTACTTTGACAGTTCTCATTGCGAATCACAGTTTTTTGTTGCTGCTTAGTTCAAATTAGCTGTTTTCATAAATGCAAAAAAAATATAGTGCTGCACCCTGTTGGTAAATCTTATAACTTTTTAATGCTTTTCCATATCATAGAACCAACTTTTTTAGTTGAAACAGCTGACTAAATTCTTTAATTCCCTTTAAATATGAATACTTATAAGGTTAACATGGGGAATTACAGAGCCACTGGGGCGGAGCCCGAAAGGATTTTTGAGATAAGAATATGCCTATATGTTAATCGGGAATGTAAGCTATCATCATGCCAAATTTCAGCCCAATCCGTCTAGTGGTTTATGCGTGATTGAACTTCAAACAAACAAACAAACAAACAAACAAACAAACAAACAAACACACAAACTTTCACATTTATAATATTATATAGTAAGATGTTGTTTATTTGTATGCTAATTGATCAACATTTAACAGATATGATTGTGTTATAAATTTAAAATTAAAAGCCCTCGAAAACTACCTGTGCTAACTCTGCTAAACACTTAAAAAACTACAAAGAAAGTTTTTAATCTCGTAGTGCCCTTGATATTTAAATTAAAATCACTTTGGTATTTGAAAAAAATATTTTGTGTTGGTAAATAACTGGCATATGGAACTTTAGTGGCTGTTTCAAATTAACATGGCTCTTATGGCGGGCAAGTTGAAGATGGCCGATAGCCTCCAAGGACTTCCTTGAAAAACATTTACAAAATCACAATTAGAAGACCTTTCTGAAGAAAATTTCTGATCTTATAGAGCCCTAGATATTACTATCACTATGGAATTTATAAAAATACTTTGGGATGATAAATAACTCTTCAGCAGCTGTTTGAAATTAATCAAATATGGCCGCTAGCCTCAAAGAACTTTTAATGACACCTTCAGCTTTAAGATTGACGTTGGCTATTTTGATGAGTTGACATAGCAGTTTTAATATTTTGGTGGCGAATTATAAACATGCTAGAAGTTGGTTAGTTCTTGTTTATTATATCCTCTGATTTCTTCTCCCTGTTGAAGGAGATACAGTTAGCACCTGAAGGGCCGAATCCGTAAGGTTTGTGCGACATAGTGTTCAAGTAATACGTCCCTCTTGCACTGTAAAATGTCCAGATCAAGTCATTAACAGTTATGTAAAACAAATCAAATATATTCATTAACCACATTGTAACGTGTCAAATTTGTCGAGGAATAAATTAGGCTGTAATGCAACCTGGATACACAATTTTAATGAGCCCTAGTTGTTGTAATAGACCTAGTCCTATCCAAGATGGCTAAAATGACATTTGCATTACAACCGAGTACAACAACATCTGTAGCGTACAAACTCCTAGCAACGGGATGAAGGATAATAGATTGAGTTGAAGGAACCATTTTTAATTGTAAACCTCTTACAGCTGGTGAGCACTATATTAATGGCACTAAGCAACATCTACAACCATGAACTCTCTGACATGGTCTGCAGACAACGTCCTAGCAGAAGTAAACTTCGTTTTTTGGTCCGTTCCGCTTATTCAACGGCAAAGATCCTGTCTCGGGTTTTCGTAACTCACTGACCAATGAGCGGGTGTATTATTACTTCTTGTTGGGTCTCGTACAATTACCAATGGATTAGGTTAAGCCTCGTCCATTCTTGTTCTGGCTTTGTGAGTAAGATCGTGTGCTTTCCTATTATACCATTTGCAACCGTAAAATTTACATCTTAAAATTATCTCCTTTTGAAATCGACAGTGCACCCTCGCATCTGTGAGGTGCGTGCATTATGGAAATAAACACGCAATTCATTGGGTATAATACGTAAACTAGCTGTTGTGAGTTGAATACAGTCAAAACTTACTACTTTAAGCCCGTGGGAAATACTGGTCCATGGCTAGTTTTTATATAGTTTATTTTATAGTTTTTCTACCACCATTTAAGTTGTGCATTAAAAACTCCTTTGCAATTTAACGATTAAAAAGTCGCAGTAATTTTGGACGTATAGGTGCTGTTTTTAGGATTGAGAACGTTCTACAAGTAACATATACAGTGCAGTGTTACTTACCCGGAGACTGGTGGAAATGTTAGTGAAGTCTTTGACATAAAACTGCAGAGGCAGGACTTGAAAAGGAAATAATGACTGCACCTCCTTGCTATCCACAACTGAGGGTATAGAATCACATACCAGAATGCGGTCACAGCTCTTCTATGACTGCACATAACGCTGCGTTCTAAAAAAGTACGTATAAAAGAGTTATGACGAACAATCAATTAATTGAACTTATGCCAAAGATCATATACTAAGCGTTTACTGGTTTATTTCACAAAATAATTGAGGAAAACTATTTTAAACCTTACTTGAGGAAAGTACCTGTATTAAAGTTAGTTGATTTAGGTAGGCTTAGAACGAACGGCTCAAAGCTTAAACACTACAAAAAACGAATCAACAGGGCCATTTCTGACCAGAATTAGCACGATCACTTTTACAAATGGTTGGTAAGTTCTCAAACATTATTTGCAAAATATCTCAATTAGAATACGTGTGTACTGAATATTTTTATTCGTCAACTATAACCCTCTCAACAGATATAAGAACTAACAAAATATAAATATACGTTAAAGACACATATTCCGTACATACATTCTTGTCAAAAACCGTGATTGGAAGAGACCGGGTGTTTTAAAATCAGCAATACTCATTAGTTTTCGTGTTAATTATAAGTAGTATTACATCAAAACATTTGTTAACTCTTGCTACTTAAGAATATGTCTACTTGCTACAAATAGTTTAGCTAAGCTTTTCAGACTTCTTAGAGAAAACCTTTGAGGTCTACATTTTACAAGCAGGTTCTTTCAATCCTTCCCTTACCAGCTCACGGCATCATTAATTGTTGCAACTTCCTGGTAAATTGCACCTTAAGATCCATCGTAGTTCGGGGGTTATAAGCAACCTGAGAATTATATTTTAGATGGGATTGATATCATGGGGACCAAGCTGAAAGTAGACTCATAAAAGTACCATGATAAACTTTTAGTTTCACACATACGCATCAAGGTAAACTACGGTGTTGCATAGTCCACGGCTCCATGACTTCTAAAATGACTTCACATACAAAAATGAGTGACCTCTTTCCCCCTCGCAATGGTTACAGTCGCACGTATACCATTTAAAAGTATCCGGGTCCTGTGTATATGTATTTTCAGATATTACTAGTAAACGAAAAAAAGTGTTTAAAGGCAGCAACATTGAAAATACACACCTAGAAAGAGTATTGTATGCTAAATAGTAATACGTAGGCTAGTAGTCCAGTAAAACTGTCAGAAAATAAGGGGTTGCCGTGCAAAAGGTCGGGTAGTTCTGATTTTTGGATATGTTGTTAGTATTAGGTCCATAACATAAAATCCAAGTTATCCACCTCGAGATGCTGCCGCTTCCCGCGGGGCGCGCCACTTGTTATCGAAATATAAAAAATATGGCAATTCCTATTGTTTTTCACTCAATCTCACGAACCGTTGATTTTACCGAAAATTGTATATTATTACATTAAAGAAGAATAAATTTGTGACAGTTTAAGCCCAACAGCAAGTATGTAGCGTAAATAATGGTCAAAATACAGACCATCAAAATAAATGAATTTTCCAAAGACGTATAAAAATTGAGTTTTTTTTCAATATTTCCACAATATAGTTGTTTGAAGCAAACACCGTATTGACTTAGAGTGTATGCCAGTTTATTTGCTATTAATAGAAAATAAATTAAAGTATGAATAAAAATACCCCCACCTCAGCAAACCTGCAGACTAAGCGAATTTCCATTTGCTTGATTTGATTTTCACAAACCTATTTAAATAACATTAGGTTTAACTGGTGCCTAGGTTTGCTGCTACCGGGAGGGTAATATAGTATATAAAATAATAATAGTATGATAAGGAAAAAAACAATTATTAAAAATCTTCGCTATTGGAATAACTTGATGTTTTTTTTTAATTTTCTCCGTAACCTAGAACTGTAAAAAACATTTTAATGTACTAAATTATTTGTTTTTAAGCTCTACAAAATTCTTTAATGATACAATTGTAAAATTGTATGTTTTGAGGGTTAAAAATGAAAAAAAAAATCTTACCGGCAAAATACCTATAAAGCAACCGTTCCTATGGCCTTATCATGCCGATCATGCTTTGCAAACTCGTTTTAATAAATAAATGTACGTGCACATGATTCAATGATTTATTTAGGCCACTTAGCAAAAGCAATAGGCTAAGTCACTTACAATAGGGAAAGTAAATGATAAATAGTCCATCTCTTGATTCACAAATAAAAGAAATGTTTGTACCAAATTCCACTAAATCGGATGATTTTGGGAATCATCGTGCTAACGGACGATAATAACTTTTTTTGATACAGTTTAGTAAAATCTTTAGTTTTTTTTTTGTAGATCTGTAGAGTGATTGTAATTGGAAGATCTTATTTGCCTGATCTTTTGGCCTCAATAAACTGTTAACTATGTTAAACTGTTTTATTTTGTTTTCATGTGAAAGTATTGTACCCAAAGGTTAGCTTAAATGTTTATGTATAAACATTTGACATCTTTGGGAAGAGTAGTTTTGCCGTTGAAGGTATATTTTGAAGGTCTGTTTTTCGGCATGTAAACCTACATGTATTAAAACGAGTTCGCGAAGAATGATCATTGAAGTATAAGACAAAACTTAGGAAATTAATTTATGTTTTAAAAAACGTACGCGAAATTCTTAACATTAATGAAATAAAAATGTTATACTATGCATTTGTCCAATCGGTACTTCAATATGGAAATATAATATGGGGAGGAGCTAGTAGCAATATTTTAAAGCCACTGTTTGTCATACAAAAACTAATTATTAAAATAGCTTTTCAATTCAACAGGCGTTTCCCTACAAATTTATTATTAAAAAACACTCAATAACTTTCGGTGCGTCAACTTTTTATCAAAACTTTACTTGTATATACCTACTCCAATCAAGATTTGATAGTAACGCCAATCGCACATAACTATCCCACCACAAAAGCTGTAAATGTAGGCATGCAGGTACCCCGAGTTTTCAAGTCTGCAAACCTTACCAATGCTTTTTATATTGCGAATTTTTTGTATAGGAATATACCATCAGAGATTAGAGATCTACAGGTATCTCTTCCAGTTTATAAACGTTCGGTAAGCAGTTGGCTGTCGGAGATTGGGCTCGATCAGTCTGAGACACTTATCAGTTCAGTATACAATACATAACAATAATAAATACACAGGTACACCAAACAATATTTAGCGTACAGACATTAGTAACTGCAACTCCATTCACTCGACTACCTTTCACTTAGCGTTAACTGTTCCTGTAGCAGTCTCATAGCTTGGTTGTAAATAGTATTTTGATTAATTTAGTTTTAATTTTTAAGAATATTTCAAATTTGATTTGTAACAGAGCTCGTCCCGCACACAGGTCTTTTACGGCATATGCGGGACTATTGTTCGTATTTTGTATGTGTAAATATTGTAAAATATTTTTGGAAATAAAACAGATTTTGATTTGATTTGATTTGATCAGGCCATGGGAACGGTTGCTTTATGAGGGTTTTGTTAAGAACGGGTTTTTCGTATTTTTGACCCTTAAAACATACAATTTTACAATGCATCTCTAAACCATTTTGTAGAGCTTAAAAACAAATAATTTAGTACATTAAAATGTTTTTTACAGTTATTGGTTACGGAGAAAATTAAAAAATGTAAATTAAAAAACCTCAAGTTATTCCAATAGCAAAGATTTTTAATTATTGTTTTTTTCCTTATTTATAGACAAATTTTTATAAAATTGGGTAAATTTATTCGTTTCTTATCATACTACTAGTATTTTATATACTATATTACCCTCCCTGTAGCAGCAAACCTAGGCACCAGTTAAACCTAATGTTATTTAAATAGGTTGGTGAAAATCAAATCAAGCAAATGGAAATTCGCTTAGTCTGCAGGTTTGCTGAGGTGGGGGTATTTTTATTCATACTTTAATTTATTTTCTATTAATGGCAAATAAACTGGCATACTCTCTAAGTCAATACGGTGTTTGCTTCAAACAACTATATTGTGGAAATATTGAAAAAAAAAACTAAATTTTTATACGTCTTTGGAAAATTCATTTATTTTGATGGTCTGTATTTTGACCATTATTTACGCTAAATACTTGCTGTTGGGCTTAAACTGTCACAAATTTATTCTTCTTTAATGTTATAATATAAAAATTTCGGTAAAATCAACGGTTCGCGAGATTGAGTGAAAAACAATAGGAATTGCCATATTTTTGATATTTCGATAACAAGTGACGCACCCCGCGGCGAGCGGCAGCATCTCGAGGTGGATAACTTGGATTTTATGTTACTAACAACATATCCAAAAATCAGAACTACCCGACCTTTTGCATACCAAAATGTCTTGTTTTACTGGACTATAGGGTAACAGACGGAGAATAAAACTAGAATATACAATCTCCTCCTAACACTTACTGAAGTAACACCCTGGCTGGATCCATCCACTGTTGAGATTGAAATCAGCTGTTGCCTTGCGAAAGAGAGACCCCTCGCCAATTGAGTTACTGTGGTAGGCAAACACCAGCTGGGCGTCGTCCTTAGAGATCACTTTGTTTTTAAAAGCGTATAAAAACGCCGAGTGTGGGTCCAGAGCTGAGGGATCATATAATAGTATATAAAATAATATACTATTATTTTATATCACATATAATATCCCATACACACATTTTATATCACATACATTTTATATTCAATTAGAGATAATTTTATTTCAGTTATTATCTTATACGAGTAAAATTAAAATATAATATTATTATATGTATTTATTTTTGTCAACAACAAAACAAAAGTATCTCGTTAGTTACGAAAAAGGTAATGGTTTGAGTAATGGGTTAGGTTCTAGTCATGAGTTAAATAATAAAAATCTAGAATCATGTAATGTAGAATATACTGTATAATAACAATACTAGGTGTTATCATAACAATACATTTGTAAAACCATATTTATTCACATAATTATGTGAACTAAAGATTTACCTTAAAATATCGCATAGTATTGAAATAAATACAAACAACATTACTTGATATTTGGAGCAAGAGGTAATATTAATTAATACTAATTAGTATTGCAATAATCATGAGATTACAAATAAAATAATAAACATATATTATTTAATTACAAAGAAATACACTCGTATTCAGCCCACGAGACCTCTTTAATCATTAAGAAGTACGTTTTTCTTGACATTAAGAAGAGTAATGCAATAACTTCATTATATTCTCCATTTAAACGCTCTATTTACGCACCTGTTATGGATTTTATCTTGTTGCCACCGTTTGTCGAGGATAAATAGCGACCTATATAGCCTGCAAGCTGGCTAGAGTAGCAAAATCCAAAAAAGTGTATTTGGTCAAGCTGTAGTAGATTGTCTGCGATCGCTGTGTTGAAGAATTTACCAATCGTTTCACTAATGTCCTGTAAATATTAAATATGTTATTTTAGTTTCTATAAATTAGCATTAGACGAATATCAAATAATTTAATGCACACATTTAATCAAAGAAATAAAAAGTGTTTGACCCAGTTAATTTTATGTTAAACTCTTCTACTACAGTGAATATCTGAAATAGTTGACTGCTGCTACGTATAATTTTTTACGGAGGTATTCTTATTAAATTATGTTTGTATAGTACAACTTCAATGAATTTGTAAATTTAAAAACTATTATATTTTTATAAGAAAAGTTGCTTTTAACAAATTGAACGAATATCATTAGACTGTAGTACAGGTATAGTAAAACGTTTCTGTCCATTGTGATAATTTTTAACACCTTTTGATGTGATGTATAATATAGTACACTTGGACCAAATCGAAATTAAAGGAAATACAATAATTTTAAGGTATAAACAAGTATATTTACTTTGTAGTTAGTTCTTTGACCGTACATGGCTTTGGCGATGGTCTGTTCCATAGAATCCTGCAACTCTGGCATGTCGAATGCAAACACGTTATATTTCTTCAAGAAATTTCTCAAAGCTAATGCTGAAAAAAGTTGAAGAATAATTTAATTTGTTATGTGATCCAAATTTATTTTAGTTATAGGGAATTCGTAAGTCAGTTGAGTAATGATACAACCGGTATATAATCTGTATGCGTAACTTAATGAAAATAATCATATTAATAGTAACTCTCCATATATGATGAATTTTAATTTAGATTGTATTTCGTTTATTAAACAAACTTTAGTGATTTATTGGATGTATTCAATACACATTTCATGGCTAGTTGTTGTTGTTTACATAATCATTTTAAATGTAGTTTATAACGCAGATATATGACGCCACACCATGCTATTTTATTTATAAAAATGGCACAGGAATACCTTTGATAGATTTCATTAAAACCTTTAAATATAGTTGTTTTACTATTTTTTGTAGGTAGCGTTTCAGCTGATGTTTGGCACACTATTATTTCATTTAAATATTAGTTATTAGATTGTATTCTTAATTGTGCGGAGCCAACTAAGCGTCAACACTTATGAATTTTTGTATACGTAAACTCCTCCTAGATGGCTTAAGCAATTTTTAATTTGCCTGGTGATAAAGAACATATCGGTGAGTGCCAATATGTAAAAAAGAAAAAAAAACTTTCGAGAGTGTCATTTTTGTTTTTAAAATTAAAGCCTCTTGTTAACATTGAATATCTTATAAACTATCCTATTTGGAACTATTTCAGTCCTATATTTAAATATGGAATTCTAACGTGGGGCCAGACGTATGGCGAGAGTTTTAAAAGTAACTATTGATTGGACTTTGTTTATGTTTATGATCTATACCGAGTTTTATGAGAATATTTTTAGGAAACAGTACCTAATAAAATTACAACATTGCTAGGTTTGAAACTATTGTAACGGCTTTTTGTAGTTTACAGGACAAACTACTCACTATGTTGTGTTTTCTACCCCTGTTAAATCTGAACGAATAGTGTTTTTGTCTCTAGAGTCATCAAATTAAAAAAGTAAATCGGTTCCGGGTCTAGGACTGTACAACCTACGGTAATTGCTACTTCCTTGTAAGGAAATTCGCTATAAGGAAATAACTACGTTCTTATTCCCTGGATTTCCTTTTCCATAGATTCTTGAAAGAGAAGTGAAGTTTAACGTATAATGTTTGGGAGATAGCAATAGATTGAATATTTTTCATCTTACATCTAAAAAATCATCATTGACAACAAGAAGTGAGCAAAAAGCTTTAAAGCCGGTCTTGAAAGTTTCTAAAGTAATGAACTACTTGAAATTAAAGTGGTTATCCATAATTTACCAACAATCAATCTGTATTACACAACAAGCAATAATACCTTTTTTAAAAACACAATTTTGCATTCAGTAATAAAAAAAAATAATAAAAGTTAGAGAGAATAAGACCGAACGAAGAGAAGAAACCTGAAAGTGCGTTTACGAAGCATTGCGGAGCTACGGTCGATGAGATGGAAATTTTCTCCTAGAACGTATTGTAATTTTTGTACAGGGCTCTTCTAAGGAAAATGGGGTGATTGTCGTAGGCGTACGATAAAAATGCCTACAGGTGATACTATATCAACAACCTTTACAAAAACAACAAAACATTATTCTCAAGATTTGGTTATTCAAAAATAATCTTCAGTGACAGCGAAACTCACCTAACATTACAAGAAATGAACATCTCCGAAGAGATCAAATAGGAATTTACCAGCCTTTAAAATGAATGTCCATGTATATGTTCGTTTTATCCATGATTTGAGATTTCTGTTTTGATATTATGTTAGGTTCGACGGTTGGTAATTCGAAATAGATGGCATCACAAACACATAAATACTTAAATAGTTTTACCTAATATAATTGTCTAGTTTCTCTCTAAAATGTTATTGGAGTAATACTAGTATATTATCAATCCAAATTTACGTATTACGTATTACGTATCCTCTGTCAGTATTTTATATGATGTACCTACATCAAAGTTCGTTGACTGTTTTTATCTAAATGCCATTATATTTTTAACAAACATTGAAGTGGTCCTAGTATTGCGAAGCCAGTCATACCTGTAATTGTGTTTCTGACAAAGTAGTTGTCAGCATCACCAGAAATCGTATGCATAATAAATATAGACTCTAACTTTCCTCTGAAGCCATTTTCTTCTTTAAACAGGTCCTTGGCATCCGCTAATGGCCTAATATGGTACTTCGGGTTTGTTTTTTCAGACGTAAATAATGCATAGGCCTCATCAAGTTTGCCAAGGTATTTGGGAATCACATCGTCACTCTGGATGGTCTTGGCTCCGAATGGCACCCACTCTTTGCTGAAATGACTTCAGAGTTTAAACTGTGATTTTCCGTGATTTTATGAACCTAACATTAAAATAAGTTTTCCTACAGTCACCCGATGTTCCTTGCACATTATTATAGTACAGAAAGCCTTACTTTAGTTCACAGTTTTTTGGTGCACACCAGTATTCCAACCAAACAACACAAAAAAGCGTGCTTTTATTTTGCACGTTTATAAAATTTATAGTAGGTAACTGTAGGAAAAACAATAATGTGTAACACTAGTGCAAACTGCCTTTGCTGCACTCAAGAAACTTTGGCTCGTGCGTAAACATTTATCTCGTGTGCAGCAAAGTGCCACTTCGCCCACTAGTTACACAAATTCAATTCAATTGGTAGCCTATGTTGTAAAGTTGTTATTTATATAAAATATAAAAACGTAGCTAAATAAACTACATAGAATTGTAATTCTGGTTGCAATTCTCATTATTGCAATGAAGTACGATCGTTAAATTAACTACTGTAATACCCCCGCCGCAGCAAACCTGCATTCTAAGCGAATGAAAACTTGATAGCAAATCAACAGCTGTTCTGAATCATACACGGGCTAAGCCGATCACACTTAACATCAAATGATAATCAAAGATACTGTTTTTTTTACACAAAGTATATGGTGTACAGAGATATCTATCCCTACACATATATAATTTTATACTAAATTGGTTTAAAAATTACAATAATTTGTTTTATCTTTCAGCTTTTTAGAGACCCATGTCCCTACAATCCACTGGTATGAGTTATATAAGATTGTTTAATTGAAAAACTATATTTAAATAAATAACAAATATAGTGAAACCGTAGCCCTGTATTGTATTACATTTTTAGAGAGCTTGACAAAAACTTGTTTCAATCTAATAGGCTAATAAGGAGCACTACATAGGTCTGGTGGGATTTTAAATATATCTTTACTATATTTTATGGCTAGTTTTTAAAATTGTATTTAGGATATAAAGCTAAGCTAAGCTGGGTTTTAATTTTGTTAGTTAACACTCTATCAGCCCAAATCCAACTCCATTCCCCATGGAAAATAATGTTTTAGTTGTCTGCATTCCAAATACTTTAGATACAGGCTTTTGGAATTGATATCGGATATAGATTGCAGTTAAGATCTTAACACCCTTTTAATGTTTTCCAAATACAAAATAAAGATTTCTAAATGCATAATCCAGAAGATAGTCTGATTATTAGTTTTGTTGTCTAATAAAAATATCTAATTCTTTTTTTAGCGAATTACTCATATAGGGAATAAGCTATTACCGTAGGTCTCATGGTAAGATCTGGACCCGGGACCGATTTATTTCTTCGTTTTGAGGTCCCCAGAGGCCAAAAACACCAACTATTCAAATACATGTCCGATGGTACGATAACTCGAGCAAAAATGATCCGATTTTGAAGAAATTCTGTATAAACATGTAATCCTACAATTAATTAATTATTCGAACTAGTTCGCGAACCAGCATGATCCGACCATGGGAACGGAGGTCTATTCTTATGGAGGAAATTAAAACTGCAGTACTTTTACTAATTGTTTATGGATATTTTATGTTGATAAAATTTGGCGAATTTATTTATTTCATCCTGTACTGTTGACGTATGGTCAAAAACACTTTTTAGCTTACCTGTAGCAGCAAACCTAAGCCCTCGTTAAATCTAAAGTTATTTAAATTGTGAATAAACATGTCTTATTTATGGATTTTTTTTATTAAAACTGCAATCAGACAAGTTCACTTAGTCTGCAGGTTTGCTGGGTATTTTATATTTGCTATTGGGATTTACTTCAGAATGATAAATATTATTCTAATATACGCAAATTAAAAACTAGCAATTGTTCAAATACTAATAACTGTATCTAACAATCCTTACTCTACAAGGCGTAATTCAATTTTCGATTCCATCTCTTCTTTAGGTACATCCTTTGCCGTTGGTAGAAAGTTCTTCAATTTAAAAAACGCATCCGAACTTTGAAAATTACCTGAAACAAATTTAACTCCTAAGTAAATGTGGTTACTATTTTATATTTGCATACTTAAATTTTTGATTGCGGTTATGAGTTAGTATTATTGCAACTGCTGAACTTGCGAGGATTCTGGGTCCTTATTTCAATCGTCTGCGCTGGGCTAGGCTACTATGTGGTTTCTTAAAACTGTTAAGGAGTAAAGAAAAACTTTATTTTATTGAGCTATTTAGACTTTATAGATACAAACTGAATCATAGTTCAGCACTCACACACAGAACGCTTATGCATACTCGTATACAATGTGAATCTGTTTATATTAATGAGCCAACCGTCATCTTTTAAATCTTAAATACTTACTGAGTATCCAAAATATAATAATGTGCTTCATTTCCCAAGATGTGTATCCATCTAAAACTGTTAGAACACTAGAATAAAACGTTGTCTGCTCTGGAGAGAAAAAAACAAGTAAATTTATTACGAAGCTGGCATGAGCACTGCTGTATCAAGGTCGCACATCGCCGAACTGACATTATTGACTAAATTAGTACGATTATTAGGGCAAAATTTTGAGCATGTGTGCATGCACGTGTGTTGTTGTTGTTGTTGTTGTTGTTGGTTGTTGGTTGTTGTGTGGTGTTTCTAGTGTGGAAGTTTTCTTATGATATTGGGTATACTTGACAACCCACAGAATAGAAACATCTATAGACTATATACAATAATGTTTTTTTTACTTAATAACATGCCAAAAAGGTGTGCAAGAGAGGTGTTATTTAAAGCTTATGATCTAGTGCACCTGAGAATTGTAGTTAATATGGTACCTTTAGGCCTTCACCCTTCACGTTTGATTTATTTCTAGAGTCCATTTCGTAGATCCATGTATACTGACCAAAGGTTCTGTATAAAGGTGTAAATGTGAATATTGTAATTTAACAGATGTTTCTACAGTTGATTGTTTAACCACAGTCGGATTGTTAATATGAGATTAAACTGTCTATGAAAATGTATGCCTGGGTGTTTCAATAGGCTTTTTTGACAACTGGGCCTAAATGATGTAGATAAATCTCTTATTACTGTACATAAAACATCAACAAATTCATTGTAATTTAATTTTTCTACTTGCTTAATAGCTGTTATAAGCAAACAAAATCATAAACAAATAAATGTGTATTGCAGTGGATTAATTTTGCCTCCAAAAAGGGTTTTGGATTGTATTAAACTGCGCCCTTTCCGCACGGGTCCCCTCCTTATTTTATATGTTACCAAGCTAGCAATAACCCTACAGAACAGATAACACTCTTGGGTGTTGTAATAAGTGTAAAAAAAGTAAAACTTTTATCAGTATTTTGATATTTCCACTTTTGTTGTGAATCTTTTTTCTGAAATCTTTACATGGGTTTATAATATGAGTTAATTTCTGTTTACTGTATACAGAAATTATTGATTTAATTTTAAAACTGCATGTTTGAATATATATTTGTATGATTGTATGTGTGTATGTATGAACGATATAGCCTAGGTAAGATATGTACCTCCGAATTAATAAGCGGGGAGAAAATACCGAGTTGGAGATAGTTTTTTTAAAACTTTGTACAACTAAATCCACAGTATTGGATGGGAAAGCTGGGTCGGAAAGCTTAATTCATGCAGATTTGCAAACAATTACGAATGTTTTATTATATTAAATATAAATCAGGGAAAAGTAAAAACACATGTTTTTTATAAGAAATACATTAAAACGGCATTTTCAAAGTTTCTATTTGTAGCCAAGATTAGGCTGTCTTTATTGAGTATTTTATATTAAGGATTTTTTTTTTAAAGGAAAATTCTTAATTTTTCACATAATTTATGCAATGATTTATTGTTTATCTGCCAATTTTTAGTGGAACAATACTAGCCTGTTATTACTGCTTAACCATGGTTATACCTTTTTCTATCAATACTGAATTAATTGTTTTCAGTATAAAGTAGTACGTAGTGACGTACTATATTTCCTTCTGAAAATATAGCCAAGCAAAGTAACTGCCAATCAGTTGCACTCTATTGTCTCCTTCAGATGCCGGGATTTCCGCATTTTCCGCTCGTTGCCTTTTCCTTTTCCGTTTTCTACTTTGCGAGAACTCTTTGCTGTACACTTACCGCATATTATAAATAACTGTTAACGTAAAACGTATATATTTCTATATTCCTTATTTGTAATTCAGTAATGCTAAAAGTAAATTAACAATATATATTTTATTCCTAACCTAATAAAATCACAATAAAAGGTGGTAAAGTAGAATATATAGTTTAAAAAGTAAATCTAGCATCATAGACGCATTAATGTCTGATTGGTGTTAAGGTTTTTTTTAAAAGATAAAGGGTTAGTACGGATAGAAAACCCTCATTAAAAGCATTAAAAGTTTTTCCTTGCTCGATATTTGTAGTTTAACACGTTTAGGTAGTTATATCTTAAGCCAATGGCCATGAACGCAATGAAGGAACCAAACATTTTACAGTACATAGAAGGTTGACAATGGATGTCGCAAGCAGGATGATTAGCAAAGCTCATCTACTGAAGTCTGAGGACCCATTGTCTGTGGCTATTGTACGGCCACAGTCTGCCAACAATGTCTTGCTCATCTGTTGCGGCTTTTATGCCAAAGATCTTGATATATACATAGAGATCATGTATATTGTACGGCTACTGTCTGCCAACAATGTCTTGTTCATCTGTTGCGGCTTTTATGCCAAAGATCTTGATATATACATAGAGATCATGTATATTGTACGGCTACTGTCTGCCAACAATGTCTTGTTCTTCTGTTGCGGCTTTTATGCCAAAGATCTTGATATATACATAGAGATCATGTATATTGTACGGCTACTGTCTGCCAACAATGTCTTGTTCTTCTGTTGCGGCTTTTATACCAAAGATCTTGATATATACATAGAGATCATGTATATTGTACGGCTACTGTCTGCCAACAATGTCTTGTTCTTCTGTTGCGGCTTTTATGCCAAAGATCTTGATATATACATAGAGATCATGTATATTGTACGGCTACTGTCTGCCAACAATGTCTTGTTCTTCTGTTGCGGCTTTTATGCCAAAGATCTTGATATATACATAGAGATCATGTATATTGTACGGCTACTGTCTGCCAACAATGTCTTGTTCTTCTGTTGCGGCTTTTATACCAAAGATCTTGATATATACATAGAGATCATGTATATTGTACGGCTACTGTCTGCCAACAATGTCTTGTTCTTCTGTTGCGGCTTTTATGCCAAAGATCTTGATATATACATAGAGATCATGTATATTGTACGGCTACTGTCTGCCAACAATGTCTTGTTCTTCTGTTGCGGCTTTTATACCAGAGATCTTGATATATACATAGAGATCATGTATATTGTACGGCTACTGTCTGCCAACTATGTCTTGTTCTTCTGTTGCGGCTTTTATGCCAAAGATCTTGATATATACATAGAGATCATGTATATTGTACGGCTACTGTCTGCCAACAATGTCTTGTTCTTCTGTTGCGGCTTTTATACCAAAGATCTTGATATATACATAGAGATCATGTATATTGTACGGCTACTGTCTGCCAACAATGTGTTGCTGATATGTTGCGGCTTTTATACCGAAGATCTTGATATATACATAGAGATCATGTATATTGTGTACGTAGAGACTATGCAATACTTGAGACCTGTGTATTATATGTACCCTATCTGAAAAGAGAAAATAATCAAATATTCTATTCTATATTGTACGGCTACCGTGTACCAAAATATATAGGTCGACCAGTTGGTCAATTGGTAAAATTGTCCATTTATTGATCAACCTCTCTGGTACATGGACCCTCTGGTAAATGTTCGACCGCAAAATAGACACAACTATATTGTACGTTCAGATCTCCCAACAATGTCTTGCTCATCTGTCACAGATTTTATGACAAAAATCTAGCTGTATTCATAGCGATCAATATGCATATTGATCTACCAAAATCTGTCATCAATTTCCTTATCATCTGTAGTGGCTTTAAAACTATTTGACGTTCAGTAGGAGGCCTTTATTGTGAGGCCAGAGACATTCAGCGTCAAAGTTGTGACATTCAAACGTGATTAAATGTATTTTACCTACGACCGTTTTGAAAGTAGCCGTTACAGTTCAGTTCTTAGAATTGAAAAGTTTCACATAACAGCATTGTTTAATTTCATAACAGCATAGTTTTTCGGTAATGGACCAATGAGGTTCAAGGATTGAGAGATTAGGAGTAAATTGTATTGATTCTAACTTTAACTAATCGGCTGTGCAGGCCAATTTAATCGTTGAGTGGCACAATTATTGTTTGGTACAATGTTTTATTTCATTACTGTGAGTGGCAAAGAGAGGTTATTAATGAAAAAATAATCTCTCTTAAAAGTTATGAGAAGTAAATTGTATTAATTAAAACATTGTCATAGGTAAAGTAGCGTACACAACTTTTTTTTTCTTTTTTTTGGAGGTTGGTGGCCTCTTTTAACCTTGCATTTGCCCGTCCACATCTAGGAGGATTAAACATTAAGGAGAGGACACGCTGTAGTTTCGTTGAAGCCAGCGTACTGGGGAGGGGGGGAGGCAGCGCTACTCTCCCGCCCCCCTCTCATACTGCGTTGTATGCGTTACTGGAAGATTTGGTAACAGAAATATCAATTGACTATTTAAAAATTAGACTTCATCATGCTACGAAAATTAAAAAGTTAAATTCTAACCGTAATATTAGGAACCTATTAAGAGGAAAGTCATATTTATTTACCAATAGTACGTTACACAAGGACGACTTGTATTTTAGAATTCGTTTGTCCTTGTTTTTATTTTTTGCCATACTTGTATTGTGTATTATTTATAATACTCTAACCAAAGCGCGGGACTCCGGTTCATGGGGCCCGGGTTCAAATCCCGCCATATCACCAATGGATTTTACTGTTCATAAATTAAAACTCAAATCATGAGTAGTACTGTATGTGTATTTGAACATTTTCTTAAA